ATTATTGGACTCAAAACTAACAACCAATGTGTCCATATGATTTGCTTTGTTTCAAATTGAACATTGTTTCAGCAGTGTGAAGTCCTGCGCTACATCAAGTTCAACCTTCACTTCCTTTACAAATGCTCAAGTTATGATCTTAATCTTAGGCATTGCTGGATGACAGACAAGAAACTGGTGGAAAGCCACACCACTCACTAATCCAAGGCTACCCACATTCAGGCTTTTAAAGCATTGCCGTGAAAAAGGTTGTCAGAAACTTACATGCAAGGACTCGATGAATTCAAGAACGTCGAAGTTATCTGAACGGCCAAACTTCAGCATCGAAATCTTGTGAAGCTTCTAGGATGCTCTATTGAAAGAGAGGAAAAGATGCTGATTTATCAATTTAACATTGTTAAGCAATCCTAGTACAACTGGATGAGGTTTGCTAACTAATGTAATAGTTTGATTTCGCAGATCAAACAAAAAGTGTGTTATTTGATTGGTCTTAGCTCCTCCAAGTTGTTAATTGAGTTGCTCGGGGACTTGTGTGTATTTATCAAGATTCTCAATTGAGAATTGTTCATAGAAACCTCAAAGCTAGCTAAATATTGCTAGACACTTACATGAATCTAATTAAGATATTAAACTTTGACATTGCTAGAAGTTTTCGAGGGAATGAAACCGAAGGTTCTCATCAACACGACAAAGTGAAGCATTCTTTATTGCTTGTAACATTATCTTCTAGCTAATTCTTTCATGTAGCGACTACATGCAGGGATGGATCTAGGACCGGATTACAGGCGGGCTAATACGTAAAAAAAAAAAAAAAATACACATGATTTTTTTTTTTTTTCCATAAATTTTTTTTTTCCATTAATATGATTGACTTTATGCAGTCAGGTACACATTATAAAGTAGGAAGGTCACTGAACTAGTAGAAAACTGGTAGGTTTGGCAAGACACTGTGTAGTTTCTGATGCTTATTCCGGTCCATTCTGGTTTGTATAAGTTACCATCTTAGGTGTAGGTCAAGTCCATGACAGAAATTGTGTTAAATGGGCCTTTTTTTAATTTGCCTGTGAAATAAATATTTACTTTTTTAATTAGATACTAAAGGGGTTGTTCTCTTCATGTTTCGATTTTAGTTTTTAGTTTTGAATTCATTTTGGATTTTGTGTTTTGAATGTCCATTTTGAGATTGTTGAAAACGAGTTCTTTCTGTCATTTTGAAAAAAAATCGAAAAGAAAAAAATGAAGTTTTGACTTGATTTTAACTAAAAACAGCCAAAACGAATTTTTTTAACATTTTCCGTTTTCTTTGTAAATTTTAAACTCGTTTTTGGAAATTTGTTTCTGAAAATAGATAAGTAAATGCGTTTTCTGTGTTTTCGAAAATTGAAAATGACATACAGTAAAGAGAACAGACCCTAAGATTTCCAATAAGGTGTGAATTTTGTTATATCATAATACATTCACATTGCATCATAAACATGATAAATAGATGTAGAAGAAATGTTATATAAAAATCTCATATATGAACTGCTGAGAGTTTTAGCTAGCTTTAAGATTACAGCAAGATTCGTCACAGCTTTGAAAATAGTAAGTTCTTACACTGAAAATTCTTAAACACTTGAAAGAACATCAAAATTCTGAAAACTAGAGATCCATCTTCAGAATTTCATGTTGCAATAGAAGAACGAAGCCGACTAATCGATTCAAAAGAGTTCTCCACATATTAGCTGCAGGAACAGCATTGCAAAATAACTATGGTTAGTTAATAATTATGATTTTGGTGGGATATACGACGTACGGAATAAAAAATACAAAACTTCGGAGGGAGCATACGACTTTGAACTCCAATCAAATGAAAGAATCTTAGGTATTAAGTTAGGTTATCTTTATATATATTGTTGTTGAAACATGGATTATCAATGCTATTGAATCCAATAATCCTTAATGAATTGACTTTAATGGATTTTATGGGCTTTTTCTTATTAAACAACTGAGGCCTAATGCTTGTTGCAGCTTGCATTAGTATCATAGTACAGTACCTTTGTTAGGAGAGCTGTTGCGGATAAGGTTCCATGATGTTTACGGGGAGGAAATTCTGAACATCATAAGTTTGTGAAGTCATAGGCCGGTATTCGGACGCTGGCATCATGTTCAATTGCTGTTGTGCTCTCTCTGTCTCAGCTATCTGCACCATTTCATCAAAATTTAAC